TACGATGCCCCTGGCACCCTTTTCCCCTTCCTTTCCGACAGCAAGCCTCCAATCCACGTTAGACCATAACGGGCATTCCGGTTTGATGCCGAGGCTGTTCGGCATCCCCACCTAGCCTATACCCCAAATACAGCTGGAATCCTTAGAGGGACACCCAAATGGGTACCCCTAAACCCTAAACCCCAAACCCTAAACCCTAAACCCCCTATAACCTTCACAAAGCCCCCTGATTTCCTTTGGGTCTTCCTCACCTCATCTCCCCTCTCCGGGTGCTGCGCAGGAGCAGATCGTGCAGATCCATGAGCAGCTGTCGCGGATGCTGGAGCACATCAGCAAGATCCAGAAGAAGCCTGGCTGGACTACTCTTACTGTTTGTTAGTAGGGACTGGGGAAGGAGGTACCCTATTATAATCCCTTAAAGGGCATATATATCCCTTCAAGGGCATATATATATAATATATGCATATATAGGGCCCTTGCTGGACTACTTAATTAACCAGCTGGAACTGTGCTGCTAACTGTACTTATTGCCATATGAGAGCACTTAAGGGGCTTATAAGTGGGTTAGAAGTACAGTTATAGTTGGTTTACAAGTACCATGAGAGTAGACGCTGCTGTTGAAGCATTCTAGTCTTCCTCATCTATGAACCACCACCCTAATCGAAGCCTGCTTAAGCCCTGAAACCCCCTTCATACGATCGAACCCCTCCCTAACATACTGTTCCCAAGACCTCAAAATCATTCAAACTCACTTGAAAATCAAGACTTGAGAAGCTGTAGTCTGAAATCTGCCGCTTACAGGCTTTTGGGCCCGCATTTTCGCAAACCCAAGACCCCTTGATCCGCGGATGCTCCTAGAACTGCGAATGCGTCCTCAGGGATCTCCCCCTCCACGTTATGCTAAACCTAACTCCCCCACTTAGAGTAAACTGCTGCAAAGCAAACATAACAATAGCAATGGGAGTGTTCTCAGGTTGGGGTTTGGGGTTTAGGGCTAAAGGGTAGGGGGGCCCTAAAAACCCTCAACCCTCAACCCTAAACCCTAAACCGGGGCGGCGGGTGGGGGGTAGTACTCGTAGGGAGCTGGTCTGTGGGAGCTGTTGTGGAAACCCCAAGCCCTCAACCCAAGGGTTTAGTCTTTTGGGTTGAGGGTTTAGGGTTTAGGGTTTAGGGTTCAGGGTTTAGGGTAGGGGAATCCAAAACCCGAAAACAAAAAGTATCCCCAACCCTCAAACCAAATGGAAGCTCTCAGCCGGGCCGCCCGAAAAAAGACTTCAATCTTCTACTTGGAGGTTCAGGGTACTTAGTAACCAGTTGTAAGTGTAGTTATGACCCACTCATAAGCCCATAAGTACCCCAATAGGGACATAATTGGGTTATAAGTGCAGTTGTAATTGGCTTGCCTAAGTACCCTGAACCTCCAAGTAGGGCGCATGGGCTTAGGGCTTCTTTCTGGCTTTAGAGCGTGAGGGGCTTTAGTGTTTCAGGGTCGAGGCAGGAGAATTTGCAAAGACGGCCCCGAGGAAAAGCGACATGGACCTCTGCATGGAACACCTGGCGGGGAAGATCGATGTTCAGAAGATGCTGGACGTGCAGACCTGAGATTGGCGAGTCGCACACTACCGGTCCAACCCCAACCCTATAAACCCTATAAACCCTATAAACCGTATAAACCCTATAAACCCTAAAACCCTCGAACCCTAAAACCCTAGAACCCTAAAAACCCTAAAACCCTAAAACCCTAAAACCCTAAAACCCTAAAACCCTAAAACCCTAAAACCCTAAAACCCTAAAACCCTAAAACCCTAAAACCCTAAAAAAACCCTAAAACCCTAAAACCCTAAAACCCTAAAACCCTAAAACCCTAAAACCCTAAAACCTCTAAAACCTCTAAAACCCTAAACCCTAAAACCCTAAAACCCTAACTCCAAAAGGCCTAAAGAAAAGGTTGCACCGGCGATTTTTGTTTGAGCTGTTGAGAGTTTTTTCTCGGGAATATCGGGGCCGCATTCGGAGTTTCGGGGTACAGCCTTAGGGGCTTAGGTTTAGGGTTTAGGGCGTTTCGGGGTTTTGAGGGTCCCTAAACCCTGAACCTTTTATGTACCCCTTGGCCTCATGAGTAGCTCTTGACGGTCAGGCTTGTGGTCCTTGAAGCCCTAGCATTCAAAGTGCAGAGGTTAGGGTTTTTGGGCTTATAGGACCCTACAAGCCCCAGAGGCCCTGAACCCTTCAGCGTAAGTCCAGGTACCGTGAACCCTAACCCTAAACCCTAAACCCTAAACGCTAAACCCTAAACCCCTAAGACCATACCGGAGGAAACAATGACTCGGGCTCATATGGAAGCCTAGGAACTACGAACAATTGAAGAGCTTAGGGTTGAGGATTTAGGTTTACGGGTCGGGTTGAGTTTAGCGTGTCTCGTTTCGGGGCCTTTTTTGTACTTTCACTTGTGCCCTCATAACCCTTAACCCGAAATCCCAAACCCTAAACCCTAAACCCTAAACCCTAAACCCTAAACCCTAAACCCTAAACCCTAAACCCTAAACCCTGTCCCCAAAGCTTGAACTTGGGTCAGAAGTGAGGTGCAGACCATGAACCTCATGCAAAACATCCAAAAGCTGCAGCTGGGCGCCCCCGACCTCTCCATGACCCTCCAGGCCCGGGTTTAGGGCTTCGTAAAGTGTAGGGTATTCGAGGGCTTGTAGGGCTTGCTGGTGGATTTAAATGCTGAACATGTCGTGTGTATCTGCATCTGCGAGAAAAGCCTACATGACAAGGGACGAGGGGATATGTAACATGTTGCAGCATCACATAACAGATTGACAGAAGAATGCTTTCGTCTAGGGTTCAGGGATAGGAGTTCTCGAGCTTTTCCTTTGTGTTTCCTTGGTAGCCCAGTGGTGCCCTTCACCCTATTTTTGCTCAAGGTTCCCTTATAAAGTAACCAACCCAAAAAAGGGGTGGGCTACCAGGTGTGGCTGTCTTGGGAGTTCGGATTTTCAGCTCAAAGGGCTTGTAGGTCCTAGGCTGGTCGAAGTCATCGCGATCCTTGCACAGAAGGGGAAAGTCCCAGCAACCCCCCCCCCCCCCCCCCCCCCCAACGGTGTAACGGTTGGGGTAGGTTTAGGTTTGCCACCACCCCCCCCCCACCCCCCACACTGAGATAAGGACATGTTTCCTGTTTCCCTGTTTCCCTAGGTTGAGGGTTCTGTGCTAGTTTGTGCTACAATAACCTTTTTTTCCCCCCCCCCCCCCCCAAAGTGCTCCGCTGTCTCAACATTGAGGGTGCGTTCATGGTTAAACCCTACACCCTAAACCCTAAACCCTAGGCTTCCATTTTTTTGCAGGAGCTCCAAGCGACCGGTCCGCCTCAAGACTTGGCCTCGTGGATGCTACGAGAGTTTTGGGTCTAGGGTTTCGGGTTTTGGTGGTTAGGGTTGGGGGTTACCAAATTCTAATCTGCATACGCCCAGAAACCTCAAGCCACAGAAAGCCGAACCCCTGATAAGGCCCTAAGACCCGAAACCCCTACTACCCCTGATTTCTTAAGCCGCTTAAGCCGATTTTGGATGTCAGATGCTGGGTGTGAGCCGTGTGCAGGTTCTAGGTTTGGGGGCATGCTACGTCTGTTGTAGACGAATTATGGAACTCCCAATCAACAGACGACCTACTTCGATGCTGAATGTGAACTGGCAGAAACGGCCTTCTACGCCATACCATCGAGGCTGTCCCCCACGCCCCAGTCCCAGGAATAAACGCTAGACCCATCTCCTGTACTTTAACTTTGGCCGGTATCTCTAGCGACCTTGAACTCAAACAGGAGAGTATAAGTATGCCCCACGCATGCGGCGCGCTCCCTAAACCCCAAACCCTAAACCCTAAACCCTAAACCCCTTGACGTATCACCGCAGTCGCTGCAGGATTTCTCCCCGGTCATTTCCGAGATCCGGCGGGCCCATGTCATGATCGAGGCACGGAGATGTTCCCGTGCAAGGGGCAGCAATATACATATACATATATACATATACTTATACATATACATATACATACACATACACATGCGCATACACATACACACATATATATATATATATATATATACATAATGCTTTGGCTGGGACCCTCGTGCATTTCCACAATTGCCGTACCCCTCATATGTCCCCAAATTATTGTGGTTGTCAGTTTATATTAGGAACCCCAAGCCTAAAAAGGCTACTTCTTTTTCGGCTACCCCATCTGAGTTCTTTTCTATGCGCCCTGCCAGCCTGCCTTACAAGGGACCCCCGGGGGTTGCATTGAGGGTGATAATCAGGATTTGAGGGGTCTTCAGTGAATCGAGCAGCACTTCCCAACAGGGGACCTCCTGCTTTGCCTTCTCTTTGTTTGTCCCGGTTAACAACAAAGCCTCTTCAAGCCCACGCAGGAAGACATGCAGACCATGATGCGGGAGATTGCCAAGATTCAGTATCGGGGCCGGTGTTAGTAACGATGGGGCGCGCAAGTTATTTTGGGCGTTCGCCCCCTAAGCTTAATTGAAAGAGATCCGCCTCTACCTCACGCATCCCAAAGTAAGAATGAGAGAGACCGAGAGAGCGACGTGTGTAGCCTGCATATGTATGCTCATCTTAGCATATACATGCTCATAGATAGACATAAACACAGACAAATGCAGAGACATGTGCATTGACATATGTGCCTATACTTATGCACATACATCCGTATAAGTGCATATGTACTATATGTGCCACATCACGCATACACACACATGTATACACATGTGTATACATATACTTGAGATTGCGAATAGTCTATTCGCAGCTTCTTTTCGCTGTTCATGACGAAAGGTTGCAACGCAGGTTCTACCGATGGACTGAGCCGACACTTTAGCACTGCAACGAGCAATCCCGTAGGGTCCGTTTGCGGTACTACTATGGAATTAGGTACCCAAAAGCATACTAAATAGGTTGTTGGGGTATCCAATTCCCGAATCGTTCTGCTGGGAGTGCCTTACAATTGTGAGTTTGGAGTTTACGGCTAACGTCTGATAGAAATAATAAACAATAAACAATAAATAATCAATAATAATATAACAGAATGAAATCAAGCGGTTTCCTGGCCTCTTGGGTTCTTCCTTGCGAGATGATTCCGGTGTTTGAAGTACGGGCAGTTTCCAGCTGCCAATCCATGGCTAGCCCTAACACTGCTAAGTTCTACAACCATGAGCCGTGAAAGCCCACGAGCTTTTCTTAGGTTCCCGTAGCCAGCCGAAAACACCGACTCAAGTTGCATGGGCCCTTGTACCTCAAGACCCTAAACCCCAAACCCTAAACCCTAAACCCCAAACCCCAAACCCTAAGCCCTTGACAAGCCTCAGAGACCAGGCAGCATCTGCAGTTGGACTTCTTGCCGATAGGTCCGAGCGCTTGCGAAGCCACGCCGCGCTCGGTAGTGGAATCAGAGGCTTGGGGTTCAGCATGAGACCTAAGTGAGAATATAGGGTTTATAGGGTTGATAAGGTTCATAAGGGCTGAACAGGGGCTTATCATGAGATTTAGTAGGGTTTATAAGGTTCATAAGATTTTTGGGTTTCATAGGTCTTATGGAGTTTACACCGGTGTGCGGGGCTTTATCGGGGTTATGGAGGTTATAAGTGTTACTTTGGAGGGTCGGGGGACTTCGCAAGCAGATAGTTATTAGTCTTATAAGTACCCCTAAAAAAAACCGAATTCGATTTATCTTACTTAGAACTCTCCTAGATAACTACTTACTAAGTCCTCCGACCCTCCAAGTATAGGGTCTAAGTGTATAGGGGAGCTCTCCAGCATACAAGCCTCGTTACCAGACTGCGCTCAAAGTTTGCCTTACCTGGGGTTTAGGGCTTGAGGGTCAGGGGGTTTATAGGGTTTAGGGATTTGGGTTTAGGGTTTCGGGTTTAGGGTTTCGGGTTTCGGGTTTCGGGTTTAGGGGGAAACATGGACCCTTGGCCGGCCTTTCTCAAAGATGGCTTGAAGCGCCTTCGCAGAGAGCCGCGAGAGTCGGACTCCAGAGGGGATCTGTTTAAGGGACCTTACAGGTTATTTGGGGGGCTTGCCGATGATCAAGGGCTTAAAGGAGGGATCCTCATAAGGGACCTAAAGGGTTTTTTGGGGGTTGTTTAGGTAGGGGGTCCCTCCTTAAACCCCTTAAAGCTGAGAGGCCACGATTGAGTCTGTGGTTGTCCAGCCCAAAGCCGTTTCCTTCGCGGAGGCTTGCACGCTTGGGCCGGAGCATGGGTTGTGCAGGGTTGAAGGAACAGGGGTTTAGGGTTAAGGGTTTTGGGTTTAAGGTTTAGAGGGGATTGTCCATCAGAACATGAATGGGGTTTAGGGTCTAGGGTTTAGGGTAAGGGTTTAGGATCCCTTGAAATCAAACATGCTGGAGGCGATCGTATATAGGCCATGCAACAAACAAGTGTCGGGTACGTGACTGTTTCCTGGCACTAAAAGCACCTGGCACTAACAAGCCAGCCGCTGCACACAGAAGCAGGCCAGCAAGACAAGGCAACACCCCAAACTCTAAACCCAAACCCCTAAACCCTAAGCCCTAGACTCAAGGCAGGTCCGGGATTTGGCCGGTCATGCGGTTCAGATTCAGAGTATGGTTAAATGAGGGAGTCGGGTTCAGCAGGACAGGGCTGAATGAATTAGGGTTTCTTAAGGTTTGTTGAAGGTTGTTTGTGTTTCTCAAGTTTTTGCAGGGTTTTAGTGTTTTTGAGGCTTCTTCAGGGTTTAGTTTGGGCTTCTTAAGGTGTTTTAGTGTTGGTTGTGATTCTTCAGGCCTTTCTAGGGTTTACATAGGATCTCTAGGGCTTTTTAGCTTTAGGGCTTCTAGGGGTTTTTGGGGTTAAAATCGGGTTGCTTCGGGTTGCTCGCGGCATGCAGGGATTTCATTCTGACCCCCTCTCTCGTCGCCCCCCCGCCCCCAACCCTAAGCCCAATCCCCAAACCCTAAATCAAGCCCCGAAAAACCCTCCAAGAATTCCGAAAGCCCCCGTAAACCCTAAACCCGCATCCAGGCAGAAGAGGAGCCGACTTCCGACGACGGCCGATGTGACACCGTTACATCCGAGATGGACGTGATGAAGTTTTCCCACATGGCATCCAAGGTCTCTTTCTGATGTGTTTAGGCTTTATCTGAAGCGGCTGCCGGTGGGTTCGGGGTCGACTTTCGAAAAGTGGTTCAAGTTGTTTTCTGTTTCCGTTTTGGGGGTGTAGTTTGGGATGTTCCCCCTTATACGAACTGGGTTAAGGGTTTAGGGTTTAGGGTTTATATAGGGTTTAGGGTTCATGTTCACTATTATACTAACAGCCCTTAATAGGGACTATAGTACCCCCCCCCCCCACTATTCTAATCGCTACTAAGGACTGTTCGTATAAGGGGGAGCATCCCAAAAGATCGCGCTTGACTGCAGGCGCCTTAAGCGTTACCTTTGTTATGGTCACCCAATTGCCCCATACTTCTCATATGAAACAGGGTTTATACTACTGTTTTTGGTGAGTGTATACAAGGTTCCTGTTTAATATTGGTGAGTGTATATACCGGGTGTCCTTCTGGGGGTACAAGAAATATATACCCCACTTAGTTACTTCATATAGACTACCCACAAAACCCATTCTAATTGAGTAGGCCCCTAGATATTTTCCACACCGAGTGAGCATTCGAATTGTTTCGCTCCAGCGGGAACTGCGACATCGAACGCACAAAAGGGTTTGCTCGTTTTGGGCGGGTCCAGGTTTAAGAAGGGCACATGGGTTGCACACCTGCGAAACATACCCCGAAACATACCCCGCGAAACATACCCCCGAAACATACCCGAAACATACCCCCGAAACATACCCCGAAACATACCCGCGAAACATACTTTGCTCCCAACACCTGTCGCCCCCCCCCCCCCCCCCCCCCCCCCCATCATTACATTATCGGAGCAGGACCCTTGTCTCATGCTGATTGCCTGCTGCTTTGGGTTGAGTAAACCCTGAAGAAAACCTACACCCTACACCCCAACCACCACGCCCTAAACCCTAAAAAGGCTTCTCCGTTGCTTTTGCGCATGAGATCTCTCAAGCTGGACTTCAGATGCTAGGACAATAGTTACACCACCTCTGCAGCAGTACTCGCATGCCTTCCAACATGTATCCCCAAATACCCATCAGAATCCTAAACCCTACACCCTAAACCCTAGATTTGGAGGTTAAACGTCATGATTGTGGGTATTTTGGGGGTCGAGATGGAGAAACGTTCGGGAACCGTGGGTATCTGCGCTCGGGCTAAACCCCTAAACCCTAAACCCTAAACCCTAAACCCTAACCCTTAATTTGGAGGTGAAGAAGCTGAAGCGCGTTCGAGAGATGGGGGCCCAGACGGAGCAGGCCTATCGCGACACGCACGCGCAGACAGACGCAGATTTTCACAAGCCTCATCAGAGCCTCGGCTGCGTATTCTCTCTCTGACTCCTACAGGGGCCTGTGGGGATTCTAGGTAGGTGTGGGAACAGGATCCCTAAACACTAGACTCCTCAGCCGGTGCGGAGACACGTTGGGTGTTAGGGCATTTTAGGGCACTTGGTCGCTATGTGTCATGAAACCTCGAGAACCTAAAGTCTCCGAGCCCCCTCGACTCAAGCCCTGCCCGCCCGAGCCTCCAGCAATGAATCCGGAATTCTTCATGGAGAATATTTCGGTTTAGGGTTTAGGGTTTAGGGTGTGTAGTTCTTCTAGTGGGGATAGAAATGGGGGCTTCCGAACATAGGGGTACCCTGTTTGGGGGTCCCTTTTAGCCCCCCACCCCCCCAACCCCCAAACAAAAGACAAAGATAAGCACAAAAAGAGAAGCCCCACGCGCCTGTCCTACACCCGCAAACCCCGAACCCCAAAACCCCAAAAAACCTAACACAAAAAACCAAAAACCAACCTGTGAATTAAAAGCCCCAAACCGCATAAATCCCAAAACGCCCCCGAAAACATCTCGAGGCACAAGAAGCATCGGACAACCCTTGAATTAAAGCCCTCAAAGCCGCATAAGTCACCGAAAGCACCCTCTAGGGGTTTACGAAAATCAGGGACACCTAATTTAGACCCCCAAGTAGTAGGAACCCCTTACAATAAGGACCCCAAGAAGGTACCGCTAAACCCTAAACATCCCTACACCCTAAAACCTGAACCCCAAACCCTGGAACCCCCAAGAAGCACCCCTACTTTCGGAAACCCCAAATCTCGAGGCACACGAAGCATCGAACAACCCTAAAAACCCTATAACCCCTTAAACCCTAAACCCTAAACCCCAAGCCCTAAATCCTAAACCCTAAACCCTAAACCCTAAGCCCTAAACCCTAAACCCCATCTCGAGGCACAAGAAGCATCGGCCATCCGCCGAGCCCAAGAAGAACGCCAAGCCTTTGGTGCCGGCGCGGCCTGGTGGCTTGCAGGACCGGCTAGGGTTTAGGGTTTGGGGTTTGGGGTTTTGGGGTTTAGGGTTTGGGGTTTGGGGTTTAGGGGTTTGGGGTTTGGGGTTTTGGGGTTTAGGGTTTGGGGTTTGGGGTTTAGGGGTTTGGGGTTTGGGGTTTTGGGGTTTAGGGTTTGGGGTTTGGGGTTTAGGGGTTTGGGGTTTGGGGTTTTGGGGTTTAGGGCCTCTAGGGTTCAGGGTTTAGGGTTTGGGGTTTAGGGTTTAGGGTTAGGGCCTTTAGGGTTTAGGGTTTAGGATTTGGGGTTTGGGGTTTAGGGTTAGGGGCCTTTAGGGTTTAGGGTTTAGGATTTGGGGTTTAGGGTTTAGGGTTGAGGGTTTAAGGTTTACGATTTGAGGTTTAGGGTTTAGGGCTTAGGCCTTCGTATTTGGGGTTTTAGGGTTTAGGGTTTAGGCCCTATGGGGAACTTAGGTTTCAGACTGGAGGAGAGGGTTCATGGGTGTGGATGATGGCTCAGAGGCGTTTTGTGGCTTGTAGGGTTTGCGGGGCTTGTAGGGTTCAGGTTTGTTTAGGATTGCATTGGGTATTTGGGGCTTATATCACCAGGCTTATAGGGTTTAGGGTTTAGGGTTTAGGGTTTGGGGTGATGCCGATGTTCCCGAGAGGCCAGGTCGCCGTGTTAGTGGTGTCGAGGGAGCATCTCCCTGATCGCCGGGATGTTCGGGGCAGAAGACATCTTAACCCGAAGACTTGAACCCAAACATATGCAGCGAAGAACCACAAACAGACAAATACCTGCACAGCATCTGTGTATGTGTGTATGTATATATATATATATATGCATACATGTGTGTATATGCATATGTTCATATGTATATTCTTGTCCCTTACTTCTTTGTGCAGAATGCAAATCCATCGAAACTTCCCTAAACCCTAAACCCTAAACCCGAAACTTCCCAGAGCCTACAGAGCCTAGCAGAAGGACCAGGACGCCTTCAAAGAGAAAGCGCGGCGTGCGCTTCTGAAGCCGCAGTACAACGTGCTCCTTGGTACCTCCTGAGGGTTTAGGGTTTTGAGTTTAGGGTTTAGGGTTTAGGGTTTTTGGGTTTAGGGTTTAGGGTTTAGGGTCTTGGGCTAGGGTTTACATCAAAGCACCTTGAAAATCCCACAACCACATGAATCCCAAAGGGATGCACCTCGCCCCACACCCAGGAGAGACACTGAGAGTAGAACACCCTGCGCTGCACCCCATATGATGTGGGGGTCGGAATAATTACTAATCGTATTCTCTTAGGGTCCCTTGATTATTATGCTATAATAACCCTCCCCAAAACCCTAGTCTAATTATTCAGGCCGCTATATTGGGCTCTTGGGTTTTGTATCCTGATTAGTGCGGCCCCCGAGAAAACAAAATCCGAAAATTATACAGCGGGGTCTATTTGAGGAGGTACCGCGGAATTGTGAAAACATCGGGCGAGGCAAAATTTCGGCGAGGCCGTTGAATAGAGTTGTTGTCTAGAAATCGCTTCTGAACTGAGCCTGAGAGACCACAAGATCTGAGCCTGAGCAAAGGTTTAAAGCTTGAATCTAACCCGAATACCTAAACCCTAAACCCTAAACCCAGTCTGAGACCAAAGATGAGCTCCTTTGAATGAAGCTTCTGAGCTCCTTCTGAAGCCTTCAGGGCCTTCTGAGTCGCCCCCCCCCCCCCCCCCCCCCCACTAACAGGATCCATCTGTTGAGGGGGGGAGGGGGAAAACAAGGGTAGGCCCCCCAACAGTCCCTAGTCAGCATCACAAGCAACAGTGTTGGGGAGTTCCAGGGTCCCTGTGCACCCTCTTTTCTTAACCACTATCTACCCTGTAAACCCCAAGGGCCCATAACCCTAAACCCTAAACCCTAAGCCCTAAGCCCTAAGCCCTAAACCCTAAACCCTAAACCCTAACCCCAACTCCGTCAGATCCCTTCAAGGAAAGTAAGGGGCCATATTCCGGGACCATATACCTTCACTTTTGTAACTGAAATCACTTCAACCGTCAATCTTGGCTCCTTCGTTCTGGCAAGGGCAAATCCAAGCTGAGCTGGCAGAAAGCCGCCGTGGGCACAATCATGCGATCCCAGTCTAGGACCCGGAGTGGGCTCCTCTTTCCTTTTTTTTGGGGGGATAAGGAATATGGGGTTTCCGAAATTCGGGGTACCTTCTTCGGGTCCTGTCTAACTAAAAGGGAATCCTACTATTTGGGGTGTCTGTTTTAGGGGTCCCCAATTTTTCGTAAACTTCCATACTCCCTAGTCCGCCGACCCCGGCCAGGCAGTCTCCGGTCAAATAGACCGACCAAAATGTACGGCTCAGACTCCCTGACCCTCAACCCTGAACCCTAGTCCCTAAACCTTAAACCCTAAACCCTAAACCCTAGAGCCAGCAAGGTTGGACTACTACCACACCACAGGCATCTGCCAAAGAATCGCACGAAGCATGTGGTTCGACAACTTGACCGTTGCCATCGTAGGGTTGAGCCTTGGATCTGATATTCCGGGATTCAGTGTAAGACCCAGAGTAGTCCCTTATGCTCCATTTTTTGAGGGTTTAGGGTTTATAAGGTTTAGGGTTTAGGGCTAGGACCCAGATTAGGCCCCTATTCCCTTTTTTTAGGGTTTAAGTTCCCGTATAAGGCCCTTTAAACCGCAAAGGTCGCCCCTTCTCTTCCTAGGTTACTCTCGGTCGGGTCTAGTCAACGTCAGATTCTGGTTTCGGCAAAGAGCGTAGTGGTTTTGGGATGACAGGCTTCCCTTAACCTTGTATGAAACCCTACTACATCCTCCCAAACCCTTTTGAAACCCTGTTGAACCCGATTAAACCCTCTTAAACCCCATGGACGCCTCCCAAACCCTCTAGAACCTCTAGTAAATCCAATGAAAGCCTTACCCTGACAAATTGCTTAAGAACCCCCCCCCCTCCCAAAAAAAAGTAAAAACAAAACATGCTCTTCCTGATAAACGGGTAATATAGGCTTAGGGATTATTGTTTTACTTTTTTATTTTTTTTTGGGGGGGGCCTCTTAAGCAAATAGTAGCTGAGCTCAGGAATGCGATTTGGATCTCGATTGACATCGACTACAATCAAAGCATCCTCCTCATGGAGGCAGCCACCCAGCTGCAGCCTCTCAAGAAAAGGCCCTTTGTGCGGTTGAGAGCTTGTTGTGATAACGACCCTTTTTTTCCACAATAGCGCCCAGTTGCTCGGCTGTTTTTTTTCATATTTTTTCAAGAGGGGCTCCAGTAACCTATATAGGGGAAATCAGCTACCACATTTGTTAAACAGTTCTCCCGTGGCGCAAAGCACGGTTCTGCCTTTGCAGTCGCCCGTTGAATAGCTACCTGCAACAGGAGTAGCCCTCCTTCTGTGCGAAACGGCTATGACATTGCCCCCAAACCCTAGGCCCTAGACCCTAAACCCTAAACCCTAAACCCTAAACCCTAAACCCTAAACCCTAAACCCTAAACCCTAAACTCCTCGCTTGCCTGTTTCACCTGAGGACGCGATCTTCCAAGTGGTCGAGAATACCTTCTGCACATACTTCTTCTTTGAAATCTCCATTCGCCCCCTGGTCTCAGAACCCTAAACCCTAAACCCTAAACCCTAAACCCTAAACCCTAAACCCTAAACTCTAAACCCTAAACCCTAAACCCTAAACCCTAAACCCTAGACCTAAACCCTAAACTCTCCGTTTTGCGTGTTCAGGATCACGGAATAGCAGTCTCCAGCCAGATGCGCGAAGCACGTTTGTGAAGATTTACCCCCCCCCCCCCCCCCCCTGTAGATGAAATGCCCTGTTTTGGTGGGAGGGCACCATCAGTTCTTTCCATGTTCCTGTGATGGCAACGGGTCTTTCTGTCGAGCTGTTCGCGCTTGCATCGCCATTTGATACAAGCTTCAGAACTCGAATGAAAGGCAGGCAAGGTTCGGACAGCAGGCGGTGAAAAATGGCCAGATCTGCCGGCTAAGCTTGACAAGCTTGACCATGTTGTGTCGATACTACAAGCCCACACTTGCTCTCTCCGTCTGGAGACGCGTGAACGGGAGACCCTGTGCCTTGCACGCCTATCGGAGCGCAATGAGCCTTAGGAGCCGAACTTGAGACTAAAGCCTACTAAAACAACCCCAAACCCTAAAGCCTGTAATGGAGGGGTCGGAATAATCACGAATACTATTCCCTTATGGTCCCTTTATAAATATTATGCTACAATAACCCCCCCCCCCCCAAACAAAAAAGAACAAAAACAACTAAAACCTGTACCCCGAAAGCCATGCTAGGCGCGGTGGCCCCTCCTTGAGCCTCCGCGACCTTGAACTCTGACAGTCCGGCAGACCTCTAAGAACCTAGGTCCTGAGCCCGCGAACACTTACAAGCGCCACAAGGAGGAAGCGAGCTAACCTCAAACCCTAAACCCTAAACCCTAAACCCTAAACCCTAAGCCCTAATCGGAAGGTTTTGGTGCCTTCGCGAAGAAACGCCAAGCCTTCCTGGACCCGTGGTTCCTTTTCGACCTGTTGACCCTTGTCCTTCAAAGCTTAGGGTTTAGGGTTCAGGTTTTAGGGTTTAGGGTTTAGGGCTGAGGTGCTTTTAGGGCTTTGATGGCTTCAGGGACTTTTCGGGTTTGTTTTTTTGTTTTTGGGTTTAGGGCCTTTCAGGTTTCGGTGGTTTTTTGGGGTTTGGGGGTTAGTTTTTTTTTTTGGCAAGCTTTCAGCATGGCTTGGGGTTTTGGGTTTGGAGGGGTTTTAGGCGTCGTCCGCAGGGCTTATAAGGTTTAGGGCTCTGACTTTGAGTTCGGGTCGCTTGCATCGTTGCAAAGGCACTGTAGCGTCCAAGCAGGAAAGTGCCAGCCAACGGTGGGTTGAGCCTGTCGCAACTAGATCTTGTTGCCCATGCAAGCGCATTCGAGGCATTTCGGGCTTTAGGGGGTTGGGTTTTTGATGCCCTCCACCCTCCACCCACAACCCTCGACCCTAAACCCTAAACCCTAAACCCTAAACCCTAAACCCTAAACCCTAAACCCTAAACCCTAAACCCTAAACCCTAAACCCTAAACCCTAAACCCGACACGCCCGGAGGCTGGTTACCAACATGGTGGCAGAGACCTGGCTGGTGCCAATCGTCATTGCAATTGTGGGCTCCGGCGCCGACGTGTCTGATCTCAAGGAATATCTTCGGGTTTAGGGTTGGGCTTTAGAGTTTAGGGTTTAGTGCTCGAGGTTTGGGGTTTAGGGTTCGGGGTTTAGGGTTTAGGGTTGGGGGTTGAGGGTGTAGGGTTCGGGGCTGATGGGCTTAGTGCAACACGAGAAGACCCCATGGATCCTTGGCCCTGAACGGTGTAGGGCCTAGGGTTTAGGCGTGCAGGGTTTGGACCCTTCTGTTGCGCAGCTGACGATGTTGTTTTAGGCTTAGGAGCTGTGGCTGCCTGTGATTCTAAGGGAAGTTACATGGCCCCTGAATATGGTCCCTTCCTTCTTTAAAGGGGTTCTGAAGTAGGGGCCCTTGACCCGAAGAATGGTTCGGGGGCAGTTTAGGCATTACAGGATCGGGGTTGTAGGATTTAGGTTTCGGATTTAGGGTTTAGGGCTGATCGGCTCAGGGATGCTGGCTCACAGGATTGCTGTCCAGGTTCTTCGCTACCTTGTGAAGCACAGTCGCTTGGGTGTCGTTGATTTACATGTTGGGCCCTTTGCGGGGTGAGCGGTCTCTATTTCGGTCCATTCCTTACAGCTTAGGGCATTCAAAACGCTTAAGCTCTAGCCTATCCTAAACCCTGAACCCTTCCCCTCCTCCCACCTCAAGTACATCCAGTGCGAGTCTGTCTCGGAGTTAAGGTGTTGAACGTGTCCTTCTTGCGGATGATGAGCACCTTGGCCTCGCTCCCTAAACCCTAAACCCTAAACCGTTGGGGGTTACGGGGTTTACGGCTGATTCGGTCGGTCTGGCGGTTCTACATATTGCTTAGGGGGCTCATACACTCGGACCCAGAAAAGGCCCTGATTCATTGTTTGGGGGGGTTTTGGTCCCCTTCGAAGCCCCTTAAAACCCAAAAGGGCGCCGGGTTTAGGGTTTAGGGTTTAGGGCTCATTCCTAGACACTCTTGCTTCGAGTAGAGTTTGGAGGGCTGAAAGGGTTCAGAGACCCCATGCCCCACACGTTCATGCTACTTCCAGTTGGGGTTCTTGGGGTCCCCTGCCAGCCTATATAGTTGGGTTTAGGGTTTACGGTTTAGGGGTTTAGGGGTTCAGGGGTTGGTTTAGGGGTTTAGGGGTTTAGGGGTTTAGGGGTTTAGGGTTTAGGGTTTAGGGTTTAGGGTTTAGGGTTTAGGGTTTAGGGTTTAGGGTTTAGGGTTTAGGGTTTAGGGTTTAGGGTCCAACTCTGCGGCCTCTCTTTCAAGGAATGGTCAAGCTCCTGCGGCTGTCGCGAGTGACGAGGCTGGGGACCCGGCTCCGAGTATGGATGCCAATCGACCCGTTAAGAATAGCATAGATCGCAACATATGGCTAGCGTTCATAAGGTTACTTCTATACATACATATATATATATACATGTATGTATATATATATATATATATAATTATATGTGTATATATATATATATATGTAAACATGTATATCTGTAGAATAGGTCATGCACATGTTTGTTTTTTGGTTTTTGTTCTTGTTTTTGTTTTTGGGTGGGTTTCACTGTCACAAAGATCTCCAAGAACTAGGCTAGCTTAGATTCCCTCTATCGATGCTCTGCAGCCTGCTTCCCATAGTCACCCTAGGGTTTCGGGTTTAGGATTTCGGGTTTAGGGTTTAGGGGTGTCCTGTCTTGCCAGGAAGGTGTTGTGCTCGAATTCCCAGCTGTTGCTATTAGCGGGTTGGTCAAGGTTTTCGGAGCATTGTCGCCCAACCCCGAAGCCCCGAACCCTAGCCACCCCCCCCCCCCCAAAACAAAAAACAAAAAAAAGCTTTAAACTCTAGTTCCCTCTGAGCCCCAAGCCGGAGCCACACATGTTAATCTGGGTTTTGCGGCTTTCGAAGCCCAGCTAGGGTTTAGGCTTCTTAGGCTTCAGAGATGAGGGTCCTGAAATGACATGCTTTTTTACGGCTTGTACAGCCTTTAGTTGTGGGCTTTTGGCTATCATCATAGGAACTTGGAGGGTCCACGTGAGGGGTTCGGGGTTTAGGGTTTAGGGTTAGGGTTTAGGGTTTAGGGTTTAGGGTCTAGGGTTTGGGGTTTAGGGTTTACGTGGTTTCCCTAAACCCTAAACCCTTATTGCAGGGCTTCAAAAAGAAATCTAACCATGCACTGCAGCTGCCTACTTAAGGTGTCGGACGGCACTTTGCATCATACCGCAGATGTGATTTCACCACTGGGGCGGGGCATTTTTCAGGGCCCCAGGGTGGAGACCCGTCCGGACAAGGCGACTGATTTCAAATCACGCATTGGATGTTGCTGCTAGGTTCACAGTCCACACGTTTTTTTCCCGGAACTGAAGCTAGGGTTAAGGAGGTTTGGGGTTTGGGGTTTGGGGTTTAGGGTTTAGGGTTTTAAGGACCAGGATGTGGCTTAAGAGGTTCATCCGAGCAGTTCCCGAGCTCATCATCATCGTGAAGGCTGATGTGCTGGATTTGTCACCTACTAACTCTAGGTAGGACCTTGAGACACATATGCGAATACATATACAAACACATTTAAGCATGCATACATACATACGTACATACATACATGCATGTACACTCTGATAGTTTATATATATATATATATATACATACATACACACATATTCTTTTACATGTAGACCGTATGTACATATATATATATGGATGCATTCATGTGTGTATTGATTCCGTATGTGGCTTGAAAACGGGGAAAAATGCATCAGATTTGAGGCATTCGCAGGCTCCCTTGCCCCTCTGGAGGGTGTAGGGTTTCGGGTTTAGGGTTTGGGGTTTCGGTTTCAGGGTCTGGGGTCTAGGGTTTGGGGTCGAAGGTTTAAGGTTTGGGGTTTGGGGTTTGAGGCGCATGGTTGAGAGCTGCGTTCCACTCCTGGTCTGAAAGCAGTGCCTATCTGATAATTTGCACGGAATACTTAGGGACCATATGGAAGTTCTCTTGGCAACGACTTAAGCCCTTGTGTTCGATTTGAGAAAGACGTGCTCTTAGCTCATGTTGCCATGTTTTGCTTGGCCGCCGGCTTGAAGTTTTATACCCTATGCCCTAAACCCTAAACCCTAAACCCTAAACCCTAAACCCTAAACCCTAAACCCTAAACCCTAAGGCTCTGGGGGTTTTCGCGTTTTAGGGGTTAGGCTGGGGTTTGGGGTTTGGGGTTTGGGGTTGCAGACCCCGGCATCCACCAACGTCACGTAGAGGAATCAAGAGGACCACGTCTAGTTGAGCAGTTCTGCAGGTTAGGGTTGAGGGTCTCTCCCGATGATCGTCCCCCTTGGGCCTTCTGAGGCGTTCCTGGATTCCTTCTCTTGAAATTTTCGGGGACCCCACGAAGGGACCATCATGTTTAGAGAAGTACCTCTTGGGTACTGGGGCTTGTCTCATCATGCGGGTTGTGCTTACAAGGTTTATCGGGCTTATAGGGTTTAGGAAGAGGACCTTTCCATGCAAAAGAATCCTCTCCGAGATCCAGGAATCAAGTCAGATCTGTGACAGTCACCTTCCCTGCGAGTGCTATGCTGATTACCTAGTGTGCCTTCTGTGCATGCATGACGCCGAGAAGAGGGCTCCCTGACCTGTGGAAAGCAGAAGCTCAGAACCTGAAATCCATGATCCCGAGCAACAAAGCCACCACCTTATCCACACCTTCTTGGTTCAGGGTACTTATAACCCCAATTACAACTTTACCTATAAGCCCCCTAAGTCCCCTAAGTAGGTCAATTTGTAGACGGATAATTCAGGGAATGAGTACCCAAGAACCTCCAAGTTGTCCTTGGCAGGCCATGGGTTTCGCCGCACGGTCGGTGATGGTGTTCTTCTTCGTTTGGTTGGCCCGGTCCACAGAGACGATACCCAACAAAGAACAGACATGCTACAGCAGAGATGGGTTTAGGGTTTAGGGTTTAGGGTTTAGAGTTTAGGGTTTAGGTACTCAGAAAGCTTGCAGGGATGTGGAATGGTGCCAGTTGCAGAGGATAGGCCAGCTCGCTCTTCGACCAAGGTCATCATTTACGTCTACGCCGTGGTACTTCGACAAGCGACAGATGGATCAGAGGCGGCAAGCCTGTCTAAACCCTAAACCCTAAACCCTAAACCCTATAGATTTTCATCCTCGCCCCTAAACCCTAAACATCATAGCGCAAGGGAGCGAACTTCGCCCATGCGCTTGGCCTGGAGCGCTTGTCCTCGAACTTCACCGGTCTTTCTCTCCCCCCCGGGCATGTGGAAAGCCATTTTAGGGTTTAGGGTTTAGGGTTTAGGATTTAGGGTTTAGGGTTCAGAGGCTTTGCGAAACCATGATGAACATCATACTAACACTCGTCGCAGGGAGAGAGAATTCGTCTGTCTCTGTAGCTGTCGTAGTGGATGTTCTTCGTTGTGAAGGAACCATAAGGCAGGTCCCCTTTGCAGTATGTAAGCATTCTCCTTGTCAAGGGGCGTTTATCCCACGGCCGATCTCCAAAGGACCTTTCCCCAAAAAGAAACAAAGGATATCAAAATGAGGTGAGAATGCTCCCTCAACCCTAATCCCTAAACCGCTGAACGTAGTTGAGCCCTTGTGTTTTCATTGCCTACGTCGCTGATGTCGATCATCCCAACTGTGCGGACCCTTGGAACCAAAGCCTTCTAGGTTTTGGGGAGCATCGGAGAAAAACCTTATAAACCCTAAAACCCGAAAACCCTAAACCCCTAAAACCCTAAAACCCTAAAACCCTAAAACCCTAAAACCCTAAAACCCTAAAACCCTAAAACCCTAAAACCCTAAACCCCCTAAAACCCCCTAAACCCCCAAAACCTGTGGCGAGGTGGGGGACTTGCTCTTCCCAACGGTTCCCGACGCGATGCCACTTTGAAGCACTTCTTAGCGTTTAGAGTTGGGTTTAGGGTTTAGGGTTTAGGGTTTAGGGTTTAGGGTTTAGGGTTTAGGGTTTAGGGTTTAGGGTTTAGGGTTTAGGGTTTAGGGTTTAGGGTTTAGGGTTTAGGGTGGAGTCCCCCGAAAGCCTCTAATCTCTTCCAAGCCCCTGAAGACCCCTAAAACTTGAGCCCTAAACCCTAAACCCTGACGCCGAAGACCTTCGGGTGTCTTGGGATCCTTTCTGGTGTTTGAGCGAGTTGTTGTGTGTGGCTTAGGGTTTAGGGTTTAGGGTTTAGGGTTTAGGGTTTAGGGTTTAGGGTCTAGGGTTTAGGGTTTAGGGTTTGGGGTCTAGCCTGGTTGCATCCGCAGCTCCCCGGAATTCATGAAATCGGAAGCATTTACCCACTCTACAGCCGGGCGAGACCCCTGCAGCCCTAAAGCCAATCCGGCCTCCTAAATCGCCCCCACGGGAGCCGAGGAATGGAAACCTAACTCTTTCCCGCAACCTCACCAAAGCCCCGTCCACCCTAAACCATATGCCCTAAACCCTATAAACCCTATAAACCCTATAAACCCTCTAAGCCCTATAAACCCTATAACCCCTAAACCTAAACCCTAAACCCTAATGCCTAAACCCGAACAAGGAACTCCCTTCTTCTGGATGGGCTCCTGGCGGACTACTCCCCCTTCATGAAGTCCCTGGGTTCGGCGGGCGCGCTCCTGCCACCCGGCGTGCCAGAGCTTAGGGTTTAGGGTTTAGGGTCGGGATTAGGGTTTAGGGTTTAGGGTTTGGGGTTTGGGGTTTAGGGTTTGGGGTTTAGGGTTTAGGGTTTAGGGTTGGGGGAGTTCATGGCTTCAGGGCCAAAGGGTGAGGACTTCTTGTGGCGTGCAAAGCCCTACACTCTGAACGTGATAATCTAATACCAACGTTTCGGGTTTAGTGTTTTGGAGGATAAAACCCTAAGCCCCCATAGACCCTAAGCCAATGCGGAACCGTGAGGTACATAGTGGGCCTGACCTACATTCTTCTGGTCGCCGTCACCGTGATGTACATGCTGGTGGGCTGCTGGGCCGCTGAAAGTTTAGCAAGGCCCTGAGTTCGTGTATCGATTATCGTAGATATATACATACAACAACGTTCAGTACAGAGTATTTCGGATAATTTATCTATACATATATATATATATATATAATAGACATATACAGGGTTTATGGGGTGCCGGGGGGGGGGGGGGGGGAGTGGGTTTGGGCTTATGCTTTAGAATCTTGGGCGAGCATGCACAATTCATGAGATGGTAGTGGCATGCACCTTGGCCTCTCCCACTTGGTGAGTCGTGTGTAACAGGCCTCTCTGTCATGAATGGAATCCCAGCACTTCCTTCTCTCAACCCAAGGCCAACCCCAAGCGCGATACGCGAAACACATAATGAGATCTAAGCCTTCTAAGCCCCTGCGGAGCCTTGAGCCTAAAACCTTATTGAGCCCTCTAAGACGTTTAAGCCCTCTAAACCCCTTCATACCCTCTTAGAACCCTTTTTCTCAGGTTGCTTGGTTGAGGCGGTTGGGGCCATCGCCAGCTCCCAGAAAGAAGGCGCCATGACCCGATGTGGCCCCTGGACGTTGGACTCTCTCCAGCTGTTAGGGTGTGTGAGGCTTTTGGGCAGGGTGTTCAAGGATTGGGGGCTTAAAGAAAACCCGAAGAAAACCCCCAATCCTCTCACCGATTTCAGTCTGAGACCTTGAAGGGTTTGGGGTTTCAGGGTTTACGGAACTTAATTTAAACTCTTCGGGTGCTGTGTGGTGGCATTGTTGGGGCGAGTGCCAGCTGGATCCACCAAGTGCACGCATTGCATGTTTTTGGAGTGAGTTTCCCCTTATCAGCCCCATGTGTCGCAAAAGATGCCCGTTTCAACTTGCTCGTTCCTATCTGGCAAGCTTGCGTCACTTGCATCTGCCTTGCAGCAACCTCCGAAACTAACCAACGGCCAGCAAGGACCTTCTGAAGCCCAACCATTCATAGAACACACTCTCACCATGCAAAGGTTGAGGTACCTTCAGAGGAGCCGATCCGCGGATTTGTGCCAAACGCATACGTAAACGGCCTCTGCTTAGTTGGATGAATCGCGTGCGCTTTGCGGCAGGCTTGGTCGTGAGCTATGTGGCAGGGAGCATCCGCAACAAGATGGAGACTGGGCGAGAGACCATGTTTTTTTTGTTCACGGCTTCGGCACAAGTTAGCCCAGAACCCTAAACCCAGAACCCTACACCCTGAACCCCAAACCCTAAACCTTATTGAACTGGCTCGATGTAGGTGCTCGCAGACCCTGAAGGCTAGTAGGTGGGTCGAGAGAGAGCCTCATGAGTCGGGCTCATGAGGCCTCAAATCTGAGTTACTACTACTTGCTTAAATTTCCCAAGAAAAGAAACATATTCTTCCTTATAAGGGGAATATAGGGGTTCTTAAGCAAATACTTGGTTAGAGCTTGGGAGTTAGGGGGGGGGCGGTAAACCTAGGCAGCCTGGCCCATCTCCACTGAGTGCGAGCTTCCAAAAAAATGCTTCAAGAAAGCTCCTGCCCACAACCAAACGCCTGAGGAGCAGATTGGCCACAATCCGGAGGCACCGATCTCTCAGCAGGACTCTATCACTGACATTTTGTTTAGGGTTTAGGGTTTAGGGCTGAGGGTTTAGCGTTTAGGGTTTAGGGTTTAGGGTTTGACAGGCCTAGGGTTGCGCACCTATGAGTGACGTATAGGGAACCATAGCACTTCCTCGTCAGCTGCGTGGCCAGTGGCCAAGTATCCTCCTCTCTCGCCCTGTGCTCTAATCAGCCCTGTTTAGGGTGTAAGGGTTTAGGGTTTAGGGTTTAGGGTTCAGGGTTTAGGGTTTAGGGTTTGAAATTTAGGGGTAAAGACCAAAACCACATGCCCTTATTTTCCTCTACCCTATAAGCCCTGTAAGCCCTGGAAACCTACAAGCTCTGTAAGCTTCTAGAGCCCCCAAATCCTGCCTACAATGTACGCATTTTATCTCCCAGAAGCCCTATACCCCCAAACCATAACAGTCCTGTCAGCCGTACAAACCCGAAAAGCCACGTAAACCCGAAACCCTCTTCCCAAACGCTGCAGGACTTCCAGAACTACCTGACAGACTCCGAGGTTCGCGAAGGGGTTTAGGGTTTAGGGTTTAGGGCTTAGGGCTTAGGGTTTAGGGTTTAGGGCTTAGGGTTTAGGGTTTAGGGTCGTGAGGGTCATCTGCTTGAGCCCCCATCGTAGCCGGTGCGCCGGGCTGCCAGTTATACGGCAAGACTGCCTTCCGTTGCCTTTTCGGCTTGTTTTTTTTCGGGCGCAATATAGGAGCCTTATAATGCATGATTAGAATGGGGTCTTGGGGGTTATTACAGTAATTATATTTCTAAAGGGACCATGAGGGAATACTACTAGTAGTTATTCCGACCCCCTATAGTAGGCCATGTTCAGACTGACAGTGACAAATTTGCGTAGTCGTTTTTTTCCGCTTTGACTCGGTTGGCCCTTCGCCTATTCCGCGCGACTTATATTCCGCGCGACTTGGAGGACCGCAGCCGAGGACATCTCCGCACCCATGGCTCCCTGGTTTTGCGCTACTTGTGGCGTTTCTTGCCCAAGTGACTTCCAGCGCCAACAGCACCTGCAAGGCAAGCAGCATCGCCTGAAGAGCGATGCTGCCGCTGCAGGCCGTAGTGCTCACCAGGCTGCCGCATCCACTTCCGCGCAGACTCTGTGGAAGACACCATCTCGGGAGTTTGCTGCCATTCCAGTGTCCGATTCAATGCGGGCTTCAGGAGGGAGGACTTTCGCTTTCTTCTGCAAGGCTTGTGGCGTCGAGTGCCCAAGTGACTACCAATGGAAGCAGCACTTGGCGGGAAGGCAGCACAGCGTGCAATGGTGGGCATGCTAGAGAGCATCCGGGATCAGAGTTACAGCGAGGTCCAGCTACACCGAGTAGAGGTCCGGCACCTGTGCAGGGCAGGCTTCTGCAGTCAGCAGAAGCACCGCCACCAATCACAGCCACTGGACACTTTGTCGCCCAGAAAGTCGACAATGACTACACCGGCAAGTCCACGACTCCGAGCAATTGCTGTGCGAGCTGTGGGCGTGTGTGAATGGCCAGTGTGAGGGGACACTCGACCGATCGGATGTTGGCTCCGCAAAGAGGCGCAAGACACATGAGGACGGTGACGGCCCTGACGATGAGGTCTTTGCAGCCATCCTTGCCCTAGGCCATTGCTTTCGAGCTCGAACCTGCGGAGAGGCAGCAAGCAGTGACTGTGATTGTGGGAGACCCTGGACCACCGTGGCGGGCAGACACTGCTGCCGATACTTTGGTACTTTGGGGACCAAATGAACCCTAAATTTGGGGTCATATACCCTATACTACTATATTTTCCATAAGGTATATGAACCATAAACCCTTTCAGGGTTCATTTCGCCCCCAAGGTACTTTCGAGTGCAAGAATCAGCGTTGCGGGAATCGTTGGACCTCGGCGTACACCTGGAAGGGGGAGATGCAAGCATGCCGGGCTTGTGAGACCTGGTGGTCCAGTGGGTACCTTTTTTTCTCTTTTTTTTGGGTTCCGGGCTCCGGGTTCCTTTATACAGTAACCAAACCAAAAGGGCGCCCTTATTATAATAGTACTAGAAGAATAATATTATAATATAATAATAATAATAAGATACTACAAAAATAAATATTTGTAACTTATATATATATATATAATATGGTTACTGGGCTACCGAGGAGATGGAAAGTCTCCCGATCAAATGCGAGCCACTACAAGATAGACCGTCTGGCCGCATGGGCGGTACCGGGCACGACTGCGCACGATGTTCAAAGTGTAGAGAGCTTGGTTATGACTGCAGCACATCTGGCTGATGGCTGATTGGCTGTTCGGGCCAGTAGCTAGCGTTGCTCCCGCGTGTCCGCAGTGATGACCGTAGTTGTAGTAGTTATTGTTCTCGTTGATGGTGTCACTGCTTCTGCTTCCTGTGCAAAGTTCTGGTTGCAGTAGGAGTGCGGACATGATGATGATGATGATGACCATGATGACGCTGATGATGATGATGATGATGATGATCGTGATGATGAAGGTGATTTCAAATCATGGGGACGAGCAGCTACAGTCGCTGTCATGACAATCGTTGATCCCAACACGCTGGGGAATCCTTGTTGGTGCGTTTGAGCTTTGAGATGAAAAAGTCGTCCAGTCGCATTTGGGGTGTACTTTTTTGCCAGGTTTTTTGTGTGCAGGTACCTCAAATGAACCTTAAATACGGAATGGCATCCCACTTCGGGCTCTACCAGGTGGCAGGCATTCTGCAAAGCGTGAAGGTGGACGTGGTGGTCCTGGCGGCTGCCAAGTCGCAGTTGGCTTGGAATGTTTGAAATACCACGTAAGCCCGACGATTTCTAGGAATTTTGCTTACCTGTTTGGCCAAAATGTTTCCAAGACATACTTGATTACGTGTATACGGAAATTGCAGGGTTGCCCAGGGTAGCTTCATCTGGTGGCAGTGGAAGAGGATCACTATCCGCACAAGTACTTAGGTCTCCAGTTCTCTACAAGACGAAGGATAGATGTTCTGACCCAAGCCCGAACCCTAAACCCTGCTCCCTCAGGACATGTTGGAGATGTTCTACGAGGATCTGGAGCGCACTGGCGATGTCATGACGTTTGAGTGGCCTTGCTGCAAATTTTGATGGCAACGATTAAAAATAGGGGCTTCAAAAATTAGGACCATAAGGGAAAATTATTCGGAATTATTCCGACTCCTAATATATTATGTTTTGCCAGCACTGGGCAAGAGCCTGTCTGTCCAATCAAGCCATGTCCTTGCGCCCTACCAGAAAACTGAATCGGGTGCCAATTTATGGGGCGGGCCGCCCTGCCCGACCCCCTGAATGACCTGCGCAGAACTGCAGACACCCCATGACACCCCCGCAGAACCCGACGAGCCCTGCATTGCCACGCATGCCTTGTGGAAAAGTTCGCAGAACCGCCCGCTGCCTCGCAGAAGCGCGGCTTCAGAGGGCGGATAGACAGCCCACCCCAAAAACTCAACATCCTGAATCGTACACGAAACCCCGAACCAAATGAACCCTAAATTTGGGATCATATATTATATACAATACCACAATTCCGTTTTAGGTATATGAACCATAAACCATTTTAGGGTTCATTGCGTCCCCAAGGAACCCCCCCCCCCCCTCGCCCCTCTGCCTTGCAATGCTCAGGAAGATGATCGAGCTCATGTTGCGACTCGCCGGTCTGCATCCGCCAAATAACGGACCAAAAGAGGTTAGGGTTTAGGGTTTAGGGTTTAGGGTTTAGGGTTTAGGGTTTAGGGTTTAGGGTTTAGGGTTTAGGGTTTAGGGCAGTTAGGGTTCTTGGCCTTTGTTAGTTACTGAGTCTACATTTTTAGACATCTCAGCGCTAGAGAGGTGAGCGTGTGTGTGTGTGTGACTGGGAGAAAGTTGGGATTACATACATCTGTATATATGTATATTCTATTCTATTCTATTATATTATATTATCTCATGTATATAAACATATGTATATATATATGTATATATATATATATGTATATATATATATATGTATATATATATATATATAATTTATGTTTTTGATGGAGGGGGTGGTTCTCGAGTAGGGTCCCGAACGCCGTCAGCAGCCCAGGAATGGGCGTGGCTCCAACACAGCCACTGTCAGGGACACCAAGGAGCTGCTGCGGATGATCAAGTCGTGCCCCAGCGAGAGTAGGGTTATAGGGTTTAGGGTTTAGGGTTTAGGGTTTAGGGTTTAGGGTTTAGGGTTTAGGGTTTAGGGTTTAGGGTTTAGGGTTCGGTGAGTCATCATCGGTGGCCCCGGTGTTCGGTCTGTGAGTCCATGTCGCCATAGAAAAGTCGTAGGTTGGTTTGATCTAAGGCTAGGATAGTTATATGGGCCCTGAATATGGTAAAGAAGGTAAAGGGTTCCAATTGATGGGCCACTTGGGTTGTATAGGGTATATGGGGGTATATAAGGGGTCCCCTTTGGAGGGCCCATACTGAAGGGACCATGGAACTACCCCTAAGAGAGGAGAGTTCTTGGCGGTTTGCCTTTGCTTGGTGTCCTGCAGCCGGTGAGTCCATCAGGGCGATCCGAGTGCAGACCGCCGAGACCACGAAGAAGCTGGCCGAGGCTGGTGCTCGGGTAGCGATGCTGGGTTTAGGACTCAGGGTTTAGGGTTTAGGGTTTAGGGTTTAGGGTTTAGGGTTTAGGGTTTGGGGCCTTCAGAAGTAACTTTGAGGTTTGGGGTTGCGGGGCCTAATATAACCTGAAGACCACAAACCCAACATCTTAGAGGCCTTAATGCCAAAGACTGCAAGTGCCCTCAGGTGTATGCGGGGCTGTCGGAAACTTGAACCTTATGTGCGCGAGTGTGCTTGTGTGTGCGTGGGGGGGGGGGGGGGGGGGGGGGGGGGGGGGGGGGGGGGGGGGGGGGGGGGGGGGGGGGGGGGGGGGCAGGGTGTGCTCTAAACTATGGCCAGCGGTTATGGGCTAATTAAGGTCCCTTTCAGTTTGGAAGGGGGCCTTTTGAACCCCATGCGTCTTCTCTTGTTCAACTCAGAATCCTGAACCCAAGACCCAAAATAGAATCAGAAGATTGCCAAACCCCTGAATCCTACACTGTAACTTCTAAACCGCCAGGAGCTTTCTTCCGTCCAGCAGACCATCAATGCCATGCGGGAAGAGGCCATGTTCGACGACAGCGATTCCAGCTTCCTGGCAGCCAGGGTTTGCATACAAAAGAGATTTAGGGTTTAGGGTCGAGTATCTACTTGTTTATGCTAGAATGTCGTACTGCGGGTGAAGGTAATCTAGCATAATATCAAAAATGTTTTGTGTATGTGGATACATACACTCGTAGATTCTTTTGACATCCCTCTGCGCCCAGCCGGCAGTCTTGTCATTGGCATTCTAGGATCTCTCTGCCACCTTTCAAGAGACCCCCGAAACACCCCCGCCCCCCTCTCCATTGAAGGTACACGTCGCAACTTAGGGGGGGGGGGCACTTGGGGGGCTTCAGGTGGGGCTGAAACCCTAAAACCTAAAGCCCTAAATGAACCCGAAACCTCTGGGGGGAGAACCGGCTGAGGCCCCGAGGGCGGCTTCCTTAACTCCGACATCTTAAACCCAAAAACGCCCTCTAAACCCCGTAAGCCGGTTTAGGGTTCAGGGTTTAGGGTTTAGGGTTCCTAAACCCTAAACCCAAAACCCCTCAAGCCCTACAACCCCAAGCCCCACTGAGGTGGGGGTGTACGAAAAGAAGGGACCCCCGTTTTTTGACCGCGATTAGTGTAGGATTCCCGTGCAAGAAGGACCCCAAGAAGGTAGCCCCCAATTTCGGGACCCTAAACCCTAAACCCCAAACCCTAAACCCTAAACCCTCAATCCTAAACCCCAAACCCTAGACCCTAAACCCTAAACCCCAAACCCCAAACCCTAAACCCTAAACCCTAAACCCTAAACCCTAAACCCCACCGAGGTGACGACCCAAAGCCCTCCAAGAGCCGAGCTCTCGCTGTGCCAGGGTCGGCGTCAGGTGTGATGCCGCTCGGACCTTTAGACGGATGGGCGTTTAGGGTTTAGGGTTTAGGGTTTTGGGGTTTTAGGGTTGTGGATAGTTTCCTAAATTAGGTCCCTTTTTGGGTTACCCATTATAAGGCGGCGCCCTTTAAGAGGGATCTCAAAAAGGGACCCTGATTTAGAGAACTACCCTTATGTTGGCCCTAGAAGTTTCAGAATCAACCCTATAAAACGGGCCTTTTTTTTCAGGGGTTATAGGGTATAGTAGCCCATGCTGGTATAAGGTGCAATCAGGGCTCGAGGATGTTGTCACCATGTGCTTCATGGACCTTCATGAATATACTGTCTGATCTTTCCTTGTCAGTTTTTTGGTTATTTAATCAGGGGTGTGTTGCAGGGTTGCTACCCTAAACCCTAAACCCTAAACCCTAAACCCTAAACCCTAACCCTAAACCCTAAACCCCCTTGACGACTATCGTCCCTTCAACGTCAAGGGATCTTATGCTCCCGGCAGTAAAGCTCTGAAGGCTTCCCTTCAAGGGACGCTCCCTTAAAAATATCGGCCCGCATCTTCCCTTTCAGAGGGGGCCCTTAGGGCCCTCAAGGGGTTGGGACTTGCGGTGTCAAGAGCATCTCGGTTTTGGGGCTGGTGACTTAAGGTGACCCCTCGGAGAGCTCTGGATTTTCTGGCCTTTCCCCCTAAAAGCCCGAGGCGCCCAAAAACCCTACAGCAGCTTTGGAGCTCCACGCTGTCAGCCCCGGCACCCTACTTGGAGGTTCATGGGACTTAATAACTACTTAGAACTGGGCTTATAACCCTACTTATAATACCCCTAAAGGGCCTTATAGGGGTTATCCCAGTAGGGTTATAAGCCCAGTTATAAGTGGCTATTAAGTCCCATGAGCCTTCAAGTACACATCAAACACCGCCAAAAGTCCCAGCCAAGAAGGCAAGCCTTGGCAGCGCGTTAGGAAATGCCTTCTGCCTTGTTTTCCGTTCAAGGTTCCCATTATACAGAAACCAACCTCTAAGTGCCATTTGGGTGTGTTATTTAGGGTTTAGGGTTTAGAGTTTAGGGCTTAGGGTTTAGGATTTAGGATTTAGGGTTTAGGGTTTAGGGTGTAGGGTTTAGGGTTTAGGGTGTAGGGTTTAGGGTTTAGGGCAAAGTAACCAACTCCCAAAAATACCAGATGATTCCTGGGGCTCCCGGAAGCAAGCGCTTCGGCCCAGGAGCTCTCCGGTGAAAGGATGGTAGCGAAGCCGGCGAGGCTTCCCGATCTCGGTTTACTGCGAACTGCTTAAGAACCCCCCCCCCAAAAAAAAAAAGAGACAAAAATAAAGATATTCTTCGTTATAAGGGTAGTATGTTCTTCCTTATAAGGTGAATATAGGGATTATAATTATTTATTTTTTTTTTTTTTTGGGGGGGGGTTCTTAAGCAAATAGTGGTTTAGGTCTTCTTATCAATGACCTCCTGTGTCAGCGAGCGCTGTCGAGCATCATTTCTGCTGACAAGAGGACGAGTGGACCTATCCGAAATCCAACCGAACCCTAAATGCTAAACCCCTAAGCCTGAACCCTAAACCCTATGGCCCTATAACCAATATTCACAACTATCGCAGTCTTGTCAGAAAATCGCAAGCCGAGCCTGCCAACAATCGGTGGCGTGTGGCTTTCGTGGGTTTCGCCAAGCACGGCGCGGATGCAGCGCAGCTCAAGCGAAGGGCGCCATGCTCGTGGAGTCCTTGCAAGCCGAGCAGAAGACCTGCTTGGCTAAAGCAAGGGGTTGAAAGCAAGTTGTGCTTGATAGCTGTTGCGCTGCCAGCTTGCATTGAATTGCGCCGTGTATGAACCAAACCTCCCGGAAGCGTTTCGGGTGAAGTCTTAGCATGGTTCAGGTCCTCCCAAAATATTCCTAAACCCTAAACCCTAAACCCTAAACCCTAAACCCTAAACCAGGCGGGAACTCCAGCAATTGCACGGCCTGCGTGCGCAACGCCCTTGTCTTCTTGGGACTGCAACAGCTTGCTTTCAATCTCATCTCCACCCGCGCATGTACAGTACGCACCGTACCTTGGGGACCAAGTGAACCCTAAATTTGGGATGACATACCCTATACAACTATAATCCCAGCAGGGTAGATGAACTAAACCCTAAACCCTTATAAACCCTAAACCCTAAACCCGAAATCCTTTTAGGGCTATTGTGGTACCCAAAGTAGGCATTTTGAGCCGGGATGTCCGAGACATGGCCCCGGGCATCACGCAAATGAATTTGGGCTTCCGGCTCCCGCAGAGTGACACCTCTATGACCCAGAGTCGGCCCTCATTTCCTCTTTTTTTCCCCTTTCAAGGATTTAGGGTTTAGGGTTTAGGGTTTAGGGTTTAGGGTTTAGGGTTGACCCCGAATATATTACAGACCCCCAACTAGTAGGATCCCCTTACAAAAGGACCCCAATAAGGTACCCCCTATTTTGGGAAATACACCTATCTCCTTTCCCTTTTCAAGGCGACGAAGTCTCCCCGTATAACCCCCTCGCAAAAAGGGTATCCTTCTTATCCCTAGGTTGCTCTTGGGTCTAGTTGTGGTCTCAGAAGGCTCATGGGCCCTGCCCACATGCGCTTCGTTTTGAGAGCAGCAAAGCAACTGGCCAACGCCTTGCCTTCCCTTGCAGTGTAGCCGCCGCAACCTTTTTATACTCCTAGCCAGGGAAATTCAAAACATAAGTTCATCAGATGCGGATCGTTGATCTTCTTTTTCACATCCACCTTACCCGCAACCCTGAACCTGGGGGTTCTTGTTGACTCTCGCTCTCATATGGCGGTTTATGTGGATAACATGAGTGAGATTCTAATGTCCATACTCGCATACTGGTAATTCTAGGAACGGGTATGCTCGTCAACTGCCACGCGCACATGAGCACACACACACACATGTATATGTATATGTATATGTATATGTATATGTATATGTATATGTATATGTATATGTATATGTATATGTATATGTATATGTATATGTATATGTATATGTATATGTATATGTATATGTATATATATATGTATAGATATATCCTTTTTTATATAATATTGCGTTTAGTTTACGTTGTGTAATTCACTGCAAATTCTTGTCATGTAAGCGCCATCGATGCTTTGCGTTGACAGCTGCGCCTCTCTGCACCTTCGGCGCATGTACAGACACCAGGGATCCAGGGCCACATCGGAAAACGGGGGGACGGGACGAGGGGGGCGGGCAACCGCAAGAAGCCCTACAACCCTCGACCCTATACACTCATATGAAGGCCAGGTGCCCCTAAAGTGCGGGTTTAGGGTTTAGGGTTTAGGGTTTAGGGTTTAGGGTTTAGGGTTTAGGGTTTAGGGTTTACCCCCCCCCCCCCCCCCATTTCAATTGGGAGCTTGCCTACGATGATCCTTGGTGGGCTCCGTCCTCGCCCCTCAGCTGCCAGCCAGGTCGACGCGCAGGTACCCTTAACCCTGGGGACTGCCAAGCCCCGCTCAGATGCACCCTCAGCCCGACCCCTAAGGCAAGGACTCCTAGTTTAAGATATTTAGGGTTTAGGGTTTAGGGTTTAGGGATTTAGGCCCAAAGGCCTCTTATGATGAAAAGGTTTCTGGGCTGTCTTAAGCCTAAGGGGGGGACGCAAGTTGAGCCTTCAGAAGAAAGCTGGAACACTGGGAACCCTTTATGCCCTCCACTCAATATCCACTCTCAACCTTTTTTCTCCGCTGATGCCGCGGCAATGGCGCATCGAAACGCTGAGTTTAAGAACATCGGTCGGGGCCTCGGGCCCTCTCTCCGATGCGCTCATAGGGTTTAGGGTTTAGGGTTTAGGGAGATTCAGAAAACACCTGTTGTCAAGCTCCAGGGGTTGAGAGTTTTGGGGGTTATGGGTGTATGGGGTGTAGGGTTCTGGGTTGTGGGGTTTAGGGCTCATAGGGTGCAGGGGGGGAGAGGGGCAGGGCAACTTGTCGCATCTCTCGTCGTGGGGGGACGACTTGCAGCCTTCTACTAAATGAGGGAAGTAGGTGGTGGTACCCTTTTCCGTGTTTTTGGTTCCAGGTTACCGAGGCAAGTAGGTGGTACTAGGTATTTCCCCTACTATGAACCAGTAAGCTTAGGCGAACTATGCTGGTGCTTTGTCGTTCTCTGGCTGTTCATCCCATCTTGCCACACTACCCCCCCCCCCCCCCCCCTTCCCATGTCACTGAGCCCACCACAAGTACCCTCAACCTTCAGGCCTCCCCCCGTCCCCCTAAGCCCTAACCCTAAACCC